GTAAAAATTTTTACTACCAGTTCTGTGGGCATTGTTTGGTGGGCATAGCGATGGTGGGCGTGGCAGAGGAAGGATACTGTAAAATCCCCATTCCTTCCTGATCAGCTGGGGACTCAGCAGGCAGAGAATAGATGGGGGTGGGGCCAGCCAGAGGTGGTATTTGCCAGTTCTCTGAACTACTCAAAATTTCCACTACCGGTTCTCCAGAACCTGTCAGAACCTGCTGGATTTCACCCCTGACCCAATCCCTGGACTGATTTTGCAAACAGGAGATGGTCTCCTTAGGAGCTGTAGCAGTGGTGGGTAGTAAATATTTTTACTACCAGTTCTGTGGGCATCGTTTGATGGGCATAGTGATGGTGGGCGTGGCAGAGGAAGGATACTGTAAAATCCCCATTCCCTCCCGATCAGCTGGGACTCGGCAGGCAGAGAATAGATGGGGGCGGGGCCAGCCACAGGTGGTATTTGCCGGTTCTTCGAACTACTCAAAATTTCCACTGCCGGTTCTCCAGAACTGGTCAGAACCTGCTGGATACCACCTCTGAGCTATAGGATACAAAGATATGGGCACTGTGACATCATCGATGCGGAATGACTTGAGGGCCGATGGGTTAAACAATCTCCTCCATTTCATTCTCCTTTTTTCCCCCTTCTTTTTAAAAAAAAAAAACAAAATATGAAATGGATGCACAAAGCATCTTGGATGCTTTGAATGCAATGCTTTGACTTCTCACCCCCATCACCAGGAGAAAATCATGCCAGTATTATTAGCATTTCCGCTTTTTATATTTAGCAAAGTAATCCCAGGGATTGGGCAGTGGGCCAGTGTGATCTCCTTGTGCCCTGACCCTAAAGAGGAGAGAACTGGCTATGCTTTATTCCTCAGTCTGTCGGGGTTCCGACGGATGCCCTAATTAAATCATGAGCCTCCAGCCAAGCTTCAAGAGAAATCCAGTTGTTTATTAGGAGCAATTTATTAGTCAGCACTAGCCAAGGAAAGCCAGCTCTGACCCCATGTAGTTTATGGCCCAATTATGATCCTCCCCTCCCCAAGGTGTGTCATAAATCACATTCTCCAACGGAGCACTTTCACGGCTATAGAGATCACACCTCTCCAGCTGTTGCAGGTAACCTGGGAGACAGCCTTGAGAAAGGAATGTGTGGAATGTGCTTCTGTGGTGCTGCTCTGTCAGTTCCCCCCACCCTCCTGCCTATGGCAACTCGAGAGCAGGCCAGGGATGCTTTATGAGTTGACATAGTCTTTTTTCTTATTCCAAGGTCTTTTCTCTCTCTTTCTCTCTCTCCCCTTCCTGATGTGTTTACGGTGCTTCTGTTCAAAAAAAGCTTTTAAAGCTTGCCAAGCCTTGAGCGAATATTATAAAAGTGACACAATGCCAGAGGACTGGCGACGTTATAAGGTTACAGGAGCGTTTCAGAAGCGGATTGGGGGGGGGGGAGAAAGCCATCAAAAGCCATCGTTCTTGGAGACAAATAATGTGTCAGTTGGGATATAAAAAAACATGCCAGGTTCACCACTTACAGAAATGAGAAGAAATATTCGCTCTCTCTCCAGACCTGGCCTTTGAAAAGACTCCATACACCGGCTGGGTCTGCACCAATCATGGGACTTCCTGGCTTTTGACTTATTCTCAGATGCAAACGCAGTCAACTGTAGATTATTTTGCGGATCTTGGTTGAATAAAACCGCGAATTAAGAGTCTCTACGTAAACTGAAATCACAGAAGAAATGAACTAAGCCAGGGGTGAAATCTACTTTACCTTCGCTATTGGTTCGCAAATGGGAGTGCACGTGTCACCTCCGCGCATGCGCAGAGCATCAAAAAAAGGACGTCTTGCTATCCGGGCGGGTGGGAGGAGCCTGCTACCCAGCGCGAGCCCGGTTTCCTCCGGGGGGGGGGAATCTGCTGTGCCAAGCGATTTAGATTAGCTAGAAAGCAGGAAATCCTGCTTTCTAGCTAATTTGCATCGTGTGTCATAGCTGATAGTCGGAAAAAACGGTTCGCCCAAACTGGTATACATTTTTTTTTACTACTGGTTCAGGCAAACTGTTCCAAATCAGTAGCATTTCACTCCTGAACGTAGTGTAATCCTGACCACTCTTGGGTTTAGATCATTGTGTGAATGCACATATTTTTTAAATTACTTATTCGTTATTTAAGTTCCACCTTTCTTTTTTATAAATAACTCAAGGCAGTGAGCATACCTAATGCTCCTTCTTCTTCCTATTTTCCCCACAGTGACAAGGCGAGGAGGGTTCTGCTGAGGGGGAGTGCTATCCCAAGGTCACCCAGCTAGCTTTCATGCCTAAGGCAGGACTAGAACTCCCAGTTTCCTGACAATTGATCCAAAGTCACCTAGCTGGTTTTCATACCTAAGGCAGGACTAGAACTCCCCATCTCCTGCTGATTGAGCCAAAGTCACCTAGTCAGCTTTCATGTCTGAGGCAGGACTGGAACTCAACGTCTNTTGAATTCTGAATATAAATTTAGGTGCCATTTCAAGAAATAGAATAGGAATGGGATGGAATAGAATAGAATAAGGAATGGGAATGGAAATAGAATAGGAATAGAAGACTAGGAATAGGAATGGAATGGAATAGAATAGAATAAGGAATAGGAATGGAAACGGAAACGGAAATAGAAATAGAAATAGAATAGGAATGGAATAGAATAGAATAGAATAAGGAATGGGAATGGAAATAGAAATAAAATAGGAATAGAAATAGAAATAGAAATAGACTAGGACTAGGAATGGAATGGAATAGAGTAGAATAAGGAATAGGAATGGAAATAGAAATAGAATAGGAATGGAATAGAATAGAATAAGGAATTGGAATAGGAATGGAATAGGAATAGAATAGGAATGGAAATAGAAATAGAAATAGAATAGGAATGGAATGGAATAGAATAAGGAATAGAATGGGAATGGAAATAGAAATAGAATAAGAATGGAACAGAATAGAATAAGGAATGGGAATGGAATAGGAATAGAAATGGAATATAGAAATAGATAAGGAATAAGAATGGAATAGAATAGGAATAGGAATGGAATAGGAATAGAAGAATGGATGGGATAGGATGGAATGGAATAGAAACAGAATAGAATAAGAATAGGAACAGAACAGAATAGAATAATGGGATAGGAGGGGGTGGGACGGGATGGATTAGCTAGAGTAGGATAACAGTTGGAAGGGACCTTGGAGGTCTTCTAGTCCAACCCTCTGCTTAGGCAGGAAACCCTACATCACTTCAGGCAAATGGTTGTCCAATCTCTTCTTAAAAACTCCCAGTGTTGGAGCATTCACAGTCTTGGAGACAAGCTGTTCCACTGATTAATTGCTCCTAACTAAAACTAAAAAGAGACCTTCTCTAGTTTCTCCAGCATAAAAGAGACAGGGGAAGAATTATACTTTCCGTCTTGCAAGATTCTGTTGAAGTGGCTTTACAATAAAGCAGAATTAGCTCATCCGGCTGTGATTCCTGTCTAGTTTATTCCGCAGACTGACAAATCTATAATGGAGTGTCTTTAATGTGCTGCAACAAGCCAACCATTGCGAAACATGATTTATGACTCAGGGTTGAAGAGTAGAGAGGCGGCCTTGAAGAAGGCCGTGCAACAAAGAGAGTAGTGAGTTGCTGCAGGTACGGCCCAGTACGGCCTGGTACGGCTGTACCAGTAGTGGCCTGGAGCAATGGAGAGTGTACTAGCATGGTGGCTCATTTGGCCCTCCTACCCGCCCGCGTGCTGTAGCTGTATTTATGCCAAAAGGCATAGTGTACATGTATGCACAGCATTCGGTGCCGGTGCGAGCCCCATCAAGCAGCTGGTTGTCACAGGGGTGGTGGATTGCGCATATGTGCGCAGCGCACGTCTGGTGCATGCACGAACAGACCACGATCAGCGTACTGGTAGCGACCGTAAGAGCAATCCACCACTGCATGAGGCTCTTCTCCATGTCCTTCTCATTAGGTGGCCAAAGTACTTGAGTTTCCTCTTCAGGATCTGGACTTCTAAAGATCAGTCAATAGCAATAGCAATAGCAGTTAGACTTATATACCGCTTCATAGGGCTTCCAGCCCTCTCTAAGCGGTTTACAGAGCCAGCATATCGCCCCCACAGTCTGGGNAGGAAAGAAGGGGAAGGGAAGGGGAAGGAAGGAAGGAAGGAAGGAAGGAAGGAAGGAAGGAAGGAAGGAAGGAAGGAAGGAAGGACTGCCCGAGACCCCCATCCTGCCTCTCAGCCGCGCCCCGACTCAGGCACCGAACTCGGCGGGGCGGTCGGACGGGCTCTGCCCACCCGCGGTCAGGAAAAGCCGAGCGGGACGCTGGAAGAGGCGGCGGGCTGGCTCCTGACATCGCGCGCTCCCCCCGCTTGAAGCCGCGGTACCTGCTGCTTCCCATCGCCGTCGGAGCGGTTGGAGGAGCCGAAGTCGGTCCAGGATGAAGGCGAGGCGGCCACGGGAGGCGCAACCGGCCGGGGAGACGCCGCGGGCGGAGAGTCGGGCTCCACACCGCCTTCCAGCCGGAGGAAAGCCACGGAGAGCGCCAGAGCTTCGGGACAATTCCCGGTGAGTCTTTTCCCTCACCGTCCGGGGCGTTGGGTTGGATCCTCAGCGGGACTCTCTTCTCCTCGACGTCTGAGATGGAGCTGGGAGACCCCGAGCCGTGGGGAGCCTCGTCCCTGACCGAGGGTCCTCCTCAGGCGACCCGGAGGACGAGTCCTGGACCAGCCGGGGCCGCCGCTGCCCTCCTCCCCGCTGGACCCCCAGCCGTCCAGCCCAGGATGGAAAACTTCAGGAAGGTGAAGACTTCCGAGCAAGGCAGCCCGCTGCCCTTCTCCGAATTGCATCCCCACGTGGTGGAGATGAAAGTCAAGGAAGGCAGCAAGATCCGGAACCTGATGGGCTTCGCCATGGCCAGGATGGAGAAGGAGGAGACCCGGCAGATCGTCTTCAGCGGCTGCGGACGGGCGGTGACCAAGACCATCACTTGCGTGGAGATCATGAAGAGGAAGCTGGGTGGTCTCCATCAGGTCACCAAGCTCCAGTACCGGACCTTGGTGGAAGTGTGGGAGAACCAAGGACCCAAATCGGAAGGGCCTCCTGAACGTCTCACTGTCCAAAAGAACGTGCCCTCCATCTACATCCTCCTGTCCAAGGACTTGGTGGACCCCAACCAAATGGGCTACCAAGCTCCCAGTCCTCATGGCAGCCTCTGTGCCGAGAGCAAGATCTCCCCGAAGGCCACCAAGAGAAGGTTGCTTGCACCCCACGAAGGGGACTAGCCCAACCAAACATCTCCAAGACCCTCTGGGAGGACATGACTTGTGGATTTTGACGGTTGTACGCCCATGTGTGCCTTCAGGAAATGTGGGGAATAATAATAACAACAACAATAACAACAACAACAACTCAGCTGCTGTAAAAAAAATTGTGCAGACTGATTATAAATTGCAGCACAATTCAGTAGCACCAATGACCCATTGGAATTTGTGCAAAAAATTATAATATTAAAACAGCAACAAACTGGTGGGAACATCAGCCTGAAAAAGTCACCGAAAGATGGTCAAGATCTTGTGGGATTTTCGCATATAAACGGACAA